AAACTTGAGGTTTTGTCGCAGTCTTACACGCATCATTATAAAGACTTGAGAATGTTTATTTGGTGTTAACATCACAGATCTGAGGGATTGGTAATGGGAAGTGTCACATCACTGGGTTTCTTGCCTGTTGCCGCCCTTCGAATGTATTTCGTCTGTTAACACACAAGATTGACATTTGAAGCCATTTGGTGTGCCGCCAAGAAATGGCAGGATCATAGAGGTCTCTCTACAAGTTGTAAATAATGGCACTATGGGATTGGCTTCCTGTCCACTTCCTTCCAGCGCAAACACGCAAAACCACACAATAACAATTAACCAATAACAGCGCGTTCACTCAGGGGACCTATATTTTCTGACACTGTCACCATGAGGTCAGCCGTGTTGTACAGCAAGCCTTTTAGTCCAACCATCTGGTTTTTATGCAACGATGAAAATAAACCCAGAGGACACGTTTGGTGCGTAATATGAAACCAGCGCCCTGGATTGCTTAACCTGCATTCGCAGCACAGAGAACGGAGATGTGACGCTTCCCGGCATGTTACGTGAACACCGATTAAGGCGGTGTGTGCAGTGTGCTGTTCAAAGCTCCCATTTTGTTGGGTTGAAAGGAGGGCAGACTCTCTGGGCTATCAGGTCACTGGGGTTTTTACGCAGGGATATTACGAAATATGTAGAGCACAGGGACACTGTGTGATTAGTACATCCGACAACAGAGCCTCGCATTTGGCACAAGAGGACACAGTGAGACACAATAAGACATGAGACATATTCAGTGTGAGAAAATATATTGATTTAATCAGTCATTTCTCCAATATGATAACATGAACATGCACCTCAGTGATGCTCCACCAATAATAGTTATGAGTTTGCTCTTGGTGGACATCCACAAGCTGAAGATTCCTATTGGTGGAAAACGACTAGAAAAGAGCCAGTTTTAATGAACTCTGTTTAACTACCAGATAATAGCTTGTATGCCAAAATGCATAGATTTTTTTTAAGATAAACAGGATCATGATGTAAAAAGCCATAGAATATTTTATTTGAAAAGAGAGTGCCTTGCAGCTCATAGATTTACTCTACATGTATCCCTTCCAAAGAACACTTAAATCCAGGGAGCTCTTCTTTGTCGTCTTGCAGATGTTGTGCCCAATGTTTTCACCTCTAACTTGTGTCTCGCTAATTTCCCTTCCCGCAGAGAACCACACAGGACTGATGAACGGTAAAAACGACCACGGGGACGTGGACGAGGAGCTGTCAAAGCGCGTGAGCCAGCTGACCACCAGCGTTGAGAGCGTGGAGATCACCGTGCGCTCCGGGGAGAAAATCGAAGAGGCCCTGTCCCCCGAGAGCTCGCCCTCCAAGTCGCCCAACACCAAGAAGAAGAAGAAGTTCCGCACCCCATCCTTCCTGAAGAAAAACAAAAAGAAAGAGAAGACGGAGGCCTGAGAGCGAGCGGGCAGCAGGCGGCGAGGCAGACGGGGAGATCATCTGCATAGAAGAATGAGGGGCAAGCAAACCCCCGTTTTCTGTTTAATAATGTCTGTTTTTATTTTGTTTTAAATGTCCTTTTATGTTTTTAATTTTATTTGTTTTTTAACAAAAGGTTTTATGTGCAAAAGGCAGAGGAAACGAATTAACAAAAATCTGTTTGTAATAAAAAAGAGAAGTTTTCT